TACTTTTGCTCCTTCTCACCACCCCACTAAAACAACAGTGAAGTGATTGTCGTAAAGGCATAAACCCACACAGGTGGAGAGAAAGGGGAAAGGAGGCAACAGAAGCAAGATTTTGAAGCTAGAAAACAAACGGGGTGATAAATGGCTTAGCAAAACACCCTAAAATAGAATCTTAAGTCAGCAGCGGGGAGTGGCACCCATTGCAGTTTACACCACAGGCTCCCGTGGGCTTCGGTAGTGGCAGCATGTGGAAGTAGGGAAGTGGAGGGGCAGAGACTGAAAACAGGACGATTGGTTGAGCGTCTGTTAACGTAAATGGACCCCAGGTCTCTTCCCCACTCGGCAGCTGGGCTACTGGTAAGAACCTGCTGAGACCATGAGGTTTACTCTCAGGAGAGATTAAAACAGGGAACATCAGGCATGACTAAAAGTGGGGCGTATAGAACTGAAAACAGAGATTAAGGAAACATCTACAGTTGCATCCTGAGGCATCTTGGCCTCTTCCCCAGTCAACAATCAGAAGCCCTGTCCTTAACAAAGGAGATCAGAAGAGTTTTCTTTGAGGAATTTGACCAGCCCAATAAAACAGACCTAAACATACTGACAGCTCACCCCCTTATGAAGGCCACATTCAACACATGTTCCCTTCCTCCTTTCCTCTTCCCTCTTAGAGCCTGCCAGTAGCTTTGCAGTCGATATTCTTGAGGATATGAAAATAACCAAGAAGTACTATACATCTGAGTGGAGTATCCAATATGAAAGATAAAAATCAAAAAAATAAACAGAAAAAGACACTTGGAGAAACAAACTTTGCAAGAGAAAAAGATACTGTGAAGAAGGAAAAGGAGGAGGAGGAGCAGAAGGAGGAGGAGGAAGGAGGAAGAGGAGAAGGAGGAGAGAGGAAGAGGAGGAGGAGGAGGGAGGAGGGAGGAAGAGGAAGGGGGAGGAAAAGGGAAGAAGAGGAGGGAGGAGGAGGGAGGAAGAGGAGGAAGAGGGAGGAAAAAGAAAGGGGAGGGGGAAGAAGAAAAGAAGGGCTGCCATTAATATCCTGAGAGAGATAAGGAGTCATATGGCTTCATGAAATAAGAACACTATGCTATTTTTAAAAGAAGGAGAGGTCTCACAAAGGAAAAGAAATATCCAGAAACTTAAAAATATGATAGTAAAAATTAAAACTCCAAGGGTTGAAAGAAAGTTTAAGGAAGTCATCTAGAAAATAAGGTAAAAGACAAGCAGATAAACAAGAAAAGCAGACAGAAACATTAGAGGTCCAGTGAGAAGGTCTAAAATCCTATTAACAGGAACTCCAGAAATATAGAATAAGAAAAATGAGTAAAAGTATTCAAAGAAAAGATTCAATAATGTTTCTTGTGTCTGAAGCACTTGAGTCTTCAAATGAAGAGTCTTGAAAGCACAGCACAATGGATAAAAACAGGCCCACACCAAGGCACATATGATGGTTAATTTTATGCCAACTTGGCTAGATTGAAGAATGTCTAAACAAGATACTTACCAAACATTTCTGGGTGTTTTTGTGAAGGCATTTTGGATCAGATTAGCACTTAGACTCCTGGACTTTAAGTAAGGCAGGTTGCCTTTCATAATGTGGGTGGGCTCCATCTACTCAGTTGAAGTCCTGAGTAGATTGACCCACAGCTTAGCCCACCATCCAGCCTTCTTTAACACTTAGGAGGATTCTCCTGGGGGCTTTTTACCATCTTCATGATCTGGCTCCTGTGATATTTCTCTCTTCATGACTGAGTCCATCAGACATATCCCATCGTGAAGAGAGTTCAACTCCTTTTCCACTGGACTCTTGAGACATTCAAATATAGAACTATGCCTGGGGCATATGTTTGACAGTCTCCCAAACATCCCACTGAGAGTAAACATAAAGTCCTCGAGAGAAGTATTTCCTGACATCTTAGACTAGCTTGTCTCAATCTCAAACCCCTTTAGCCAAGATAATTTTATTATACAATACAATTTATTATTACATAAAGTCTTATTTATACTCCTGGTTTCCTAAACTTAGCAACCATTTTATTTTATTTTTACATAATTATGTTCTGAGATAAATGGTTTTTCCAACTAAGGCATTAGTATTTGCATGGGGGGGGGGGGTGTTATGTTCTTTAAGAGAGTCACCGAGTTGGAATGTAAGTATGAAAGCAAAAAATTACTATCGTGCTTTCTCTTAAAAACATCTGGTTATCGCATTTTTAAAAACCAGGGACTTGGTGGTGGTCTCAAAATATACACAGAACTTAGACATTTATTGTACAAAGGAAGACAGACCTACCCCACCTAAACTAGTGACATCTACTTATATAATCCTGCGAATGTCCTTTGACCATGTATTAAACAATCACGGGGAAATGCTGTCACTATCAAAGATAGCCACATGAGGAGAAGCAGTCGTGAGCAGCTAGAATCAGAGAAAGAATTGTGATACTTTCACTTTGCATTCAAGTTTGTTTTTCTGAAAGTACTTTTCTTACAAGTAGGTTAAACTACCACTAGATGGCAGTGCAGGGTGTACTAGTAGTCTTTAAACTACAAGTTAATGAGAACCAGGAAACTGGCTTGAGTACTCCCCCTCAGCCAGGCTGAAACTCAGAACTGAGGCTCACGTTGCTTTCATCCTTCCTTCCTTCCTTCCTTCCTTCCTTCCTTCCTTCCTTCCTTCCTTCCTTCCTTCCTTCCATCCATCCATCCAATATTCAGCCAGCAAATATTCATTGCCCTTAAAAAGAACTTTGATAATGGTACAATTGAGTTTAAAGCAATATTATCAAAACCATATTTTAAAGTAATTGAAGGAAAAAAGACAGAAACGGATTGAAGTACATTGTTCCTGCGTAATTGGTATAGATGGAGAAGTCCAAAGTAGGCACTGCTATGTTTTTAAGCACAAGGGATCAAGCATTTCATTTGATTCAATGAGAGAGCTTGGAAAGCCATTTCGTGGGATCAGAAACCCCATACGATTCAAGGTCAAAGCTTTGGAACTAGAGGAAGTAAAACATCTTCAGCAAACAATAAGGTGGTGTTAATGAATTTTCACTGCTGTTCCCTGTGGATCCAGGTAATCAGATAGCCAAGGACAGAGGCAATTTGGTACCCATCTTAACAGTTTTTAACTGCAATTATTTTCCTTGTATGCTAACAGAGAGAAGCATTTAGTTCATTTGCTTACATATTTGCCACTAGTATACTCCCAGCTCTGTCATTTCTAGACTAAATTTCATCTACATCTGCCGGGAGTTTTGTCTTCTCTATTAAGAGACCTTTGTATGACTCCAAAATTAATGGGAGAAGTGGGTTTGTTTCTCAAGTTGGCCCCTTTGTTCAAACTGCCTTCTACAAGTATATCAAATAGGGGAAAATGTGGCATCCTTTAATGATCAAAAGTGTGATTCCATTCTTTTTGTTTATAGAGAGAATAACCTACAATAGAGAGTAGCCTTGCCCTCTAAAGCAATGCCTTTTAAATCTTTTAGAATCTGACCCTCAATAAGAAATAGGTTTTACTTCTCAGCCGTGCCAACCTCTAGCTGATTGGCTCTCAAATCTATTCCTTGCTCTTCTGCAGATCCTGAGAGGCTGCATTTCGAGGGCTTCCAGGTTCTGTGAACTGACTTCTGTCTAGATTCCCACCATGTGTGGCACTGCTATGACACTGGAGAGTAGAGGAATGAAAAAATTACAGTGATTCTCCTCACCTTTCTCTGCCTGTACTGCATCTTTGATGGTAGCTGAGTCTCCTCTCTGTCTCCAGCTCCAGCTCCAGCTAAAAGGCCCCCCGGTGTGATCTTCTGCTGAATGATCCCAGTTCTGGGACCCAGCAACACTGCCACCTCTCTTCATCCCTCCTATCTAACGGTATTAGTGGTTTCTGCCATTGCTGTCCTCTGGATTGCCTCAGCTTCCCCTCCTCGGCTTCTCAGCCTTTCAGCATTTGTGTAACAAGTTCCTGTATTAAATTCCCTCTGTTCAAATCACAATGACAATGGTATCTGTTTTCCTGATACATTAATTTCCTGAAGCCAATGTTTCATTGATAATATTTCTTTTCCTGTGTGCAATGATTCTGATATTTCCTATTGTATTATCTCGCTTTTTTTTAAAAAGCAACTTTTAAAAAATTATTTTTATTTCTTTTATACCTTATTAGGCTGAAACCATTTAATAGGTCTTAAATGCTGAGTCCAATGACTGAAGGCATGGGGATGAAAATCCTTCACAGAATAGCCTCAAAGATGTTCAGGTTTAAAGGCAAGAGAGTAAATAGCTTGGGGTGTATAGACTTAACTTTCTAAGATCGAATTCTGCATCCCATTTTTTGGTGCCTCATTATCTTGAACAAATTAAATTACTTAACCTCCCTTTAGTTGTAGTTTCCTCATCTGTAAAATGGGATGGAAAGGCCCTGGCTGGTGTGGCTCAGTTGGTTGAGCGCCATCCCATGTACCCAGAGGTTACCAGATCCATTCCAGGCCAGTGTTGTGTGTGTGTGTGTGTGTGTGTGTGTGTGAATTTATATATTTTTTAATTTTTAAAAATTAGATGGTAAGAATGGTACATTTCACTGAATTATTGTGGAGAAAATATGTATGTGGAAAATGATTAGTAAATGACTGGTCACAGTAAGTACTCAGCAAAATAGAATATGTGCTATGACAGGTGGTATGAATTTAGTGAGTCTAAAAAGTCAGGAGAAACAATTTTTTTTTTCCAGACAACACACTCTTTAAGACCCTATTTCTCACTTCTGAGTATCTGAGAGGAGTGCTGTTGCCAACCAAGCAGGAAAAGATGCCTGATTCAGTCCATGAGGCCAGGAAGAAATGTTGTGAATCCAAGTTTGGGGACTGCCCATTTACTGTGGCACCTAAAATCGTTAAGTTCGATAGTCATTGGACTATAAATCAACAGATGTGAGGTGGAGGTGGGATGTCCACATCTCCTTTTAATGATCTTTTCAATTCATATGACAGGATAACCAATGCATGCCTAGAAAAGATGCAGGCATCATCATACAATGAGAAGAACCCTGGATTTAAAGGCAGATCACTTTGGTGCCAATTTGGACTTTGCCACATTTTACTGATGTGCCAGTCACTTAGAATTTCTATGCCCTGGCTTCCTCATCTGTAAATAGGTATGTAATATGATTATTTCCCATAAATCTTCCTGAAGCAATTGTCTTTACAATGCTTTCAAAATTAACATTTCATTATCTCATATGGAAAATACTTTTGATCTTTCAAACGTGGCCATTCAGATTTGAGTTATATGAACTCCCTGTGATGTGATGAGCATGGAGATTATTTCTGTGAAAGTATTTGTTATTGCTTCTGTAATAAAGACTGATTGAGTTTATAACACACTATTGTACCCAACCCCTGAATGGCAGTGCTTAATACTTACCAGGCATGCACATTCTAACAGCCTTTGTGTTAGTATAATGGACCAGTGAATTCTATTTGCTGCTGGGGATTTGATCATATCCTACAAACAAAGACAGATTGTTTTGAATTAGTGTCTGTTGGGCAAAGATGTTCAAGTGTTAAATTACATTAACTACGTGTGAGTTTTAATCAACTTGAGCCTATTACTTTGCAAATGATATTTCTCTGTAGAATAACATTTTTCTTAACAAATTAGATAAACTAAATTATTGATGTTTCTACATTTAAATCACACTTTCAGCATGTACAGTCATTTTTTAGAAAGACATTTTGTAGTTTCCAGAAAGCCACTATAACATGTCTTTAAAAAGCAAAAAAGTAGCATAGTTAAGGCTTAACTGTTTTCTGGGTAGTCACATCTGATAAATTTGTTATGATGCCTGAAAATGAGCATGTATAATATCCATTCATCCTTTCTGTTGTAAAGTATCTATTCTATACTTGAAATTGTGTTGCTGGAGGAACACCAAACAAAGATAAATAAAGGCTTACAATCTATTGAAGAGATAAAGATAAAAACAAATAATTTATAATACAAAACAGGGGGTATTATTATTTAATGAATTCACAAATTCATTAAAAAATATATTTTTGAATGAATTTACTGCCAGCATGTTCCAAACCCTATACTAGCTATTAAGAATAAGATGTAAGATTTAAGAATTTATAGTCAAAATAGGACATTGGCAAATACGGAAGAAATTACCAAAGGATGCCTAACCTAACTGCAGAATTGTAACAGGAAAAGCTCCCTGTAAATAAAATTTAAACTGTGTTCTTAACAACTAATAGGAGTAAAAGGAAGAAAAGGAATAAGGGTGTTCTAGGCAGAAAAACAACTTTTGCAAAGGTACTAAGATCAGGAAAACTGCAAATAATTTAGTTGTCTGGATCCTTGGTACACATTGGAAAGTGGCAAGAGATGCAGCTGATATGAATCGAGTCCAGATAATGAAGTACTGTGTGTGCTGTTCTAAGTGTTTGTATTTTATTCAAAACATTTAAGGCTTTTCATCAGAGACTATATATACACATATATTTTCACAGACATGTTATGTGTGTGTGTAATGTACTTTATTGAGAAACAATTCACATACCATTGGAGATTTTAGTATATTCACTGAATTGTGCTACCATCTTCAAGAAACCATAACTTAAAATATTTTCTCTCTCCAAAAAGAAACGCTGTACTCATTAACAGTCACACACCACCATTCCATACCCCCAGCTTTACACAAACACTTTCTGTCTCTATAGATTTGCCTATTCTGGGCATTTCATATAAATGGAATAATGCAATATGTGGGGGGGGGGGGTTGTGTGTGTGTCTATGTGACTAGATTCATTTACTTAGCTTAATGTTTTTAAAGTTTATTCATGTTGTATCATGTATCAGTATTTATTCCTTTTTACTGTTGGATAAATATTCTGTTTTAGTTTTATATTGCTGCCATAAGAGGTAAGCACATACTCAGTGACTTGAAGCAATGCACATTTATTACCTTATAGTTCTTTGGGTCAAAAGTCTGGGGTCACTGGGCTAACATCGGGGTGTTGTCAGGGATGCATTCCTTTCCGGAAGCTCTAGAGAAGAAATCCATTTCCTTGCTTTTTTCAGCTTCTAGAAGCTGCCTGCATTCCTTGGCTAGTAGTTGGCTTCCTTCCTCCACCTTCAAAGTCAATAACAACAGACGATCCTTCTCATATTGCCTAATCCAATGGTTTCTTCTGTCTCCTCCCACTTTTAAGGCTCTCTATTTTAAGATCAGCTGATTAGCAATCTTAAGTCTATCTGCTGTTTTCGTCCTCCATTTGACATATAACATATTCACAGATAATGAGAATTAGGATGTAGATATACAATGGTTTTCCTACCACTCCTTGTAAAAATATACCACCTTTTATTTTATCTATTCATCAGTTGATGGATATTTGGGTTATATCCAGGTTTTTGCTATTATGAACAAACTAGAGGCCCAATGCATGAAATTCATGCAAGGGGCTTGGCCCTCGCAGCCCTGGCTTCATCTGGAAGGTTGTCCAGAATGTTGTCTGGAAGGTCATTCAGCCATCTGGTCTAATTAGATATTACACTTCTATTATTATAGATGCTGCTATGAACATTTGTGTACAAGGTTTTGAACAGTTATATGTTTTCATTTCTCTTAGGTATATACCTAGGAGTGGAATTGCTGGCTTAAGACTTACTTTTTGGGCCCCTGGTTGGTTTGGCTCAGTGGATAGAACGTTGGCCTGCAGACTGAATGTTCCCAGGTTCAATTCCAGCCAGGGTTGTGGGCTCGATCCTCAATAGGGGATGTTCAGGAGGCAGCTAATCGATGATTCTCTTTCCCTCTCCCTTCCTCTCTGAAATCATTAAAAATATATATGTTTTAAAAACTTACTCTTTTGGAAGATCATTTTAGCCAAAAGTGAAGAATGGTTAGGGGAGCTATATACTGAGTGTTATGCAAATACGGAGAGAGAACAAATAATATGTTAGTGAAGGCTTCAGAGAGGAAACGTTTGAGCTGGATCCTCTAAAGGTTATAATGCCATTTATGACGTTTTTAAATTGTTTTTTAACTTTATTGTTGAAAGTATTACATAAGTCCTCCTTTTCCGCCTATTTACCACTTCCAGCCCACTCCCAGCCCCACCTCCCGCAGGCCCTCACCACTCCATTGTCTGTGTCCACAGGTTATGCGTATATGCATACAAGTCTATTGATTGATCTTTTCCCACTCACCCTCCCCTTCCTTCCTCTGAGGTTCAACAGTCTGTTCATGCTTCTGTGTCACTGGACCTATTTTTGATCATCAGTTTATTTGATTAATTCGGTTCCAAATATAAATGAGATCATGTGGTACTTATCTTTCTCTCACTGGCTTATTTTGCTCAGCATAATACTCTCCAGGTCTATCCATGCCATTGAAAATGATAAGAGTTCTTACTTTTTTATTGCAGTGTAGTATTCCATTGTGTAAATGTACCACAGTTTTTTATCCACTCATCTGCAATGGGCACTTAAGCTGGTTTCATCTTAAAAAATGGGCAAAGGACCCAATAGACACTAGTGGATATACAGAAAACCAAGAGACATATGAAAAAATGACCAGTCACTAATCATATGAGAGATGCAAATCAAAACAACAGTGATATATCACCTTACACCTGTCAGAATGGCTGTCACCAACAAATCAACAAATGACAAGTGTTGGCAGGGTTGTAGAGAAAAGGGAACCCTACTACACTGCTAGTGGGAATGCAGATTGGTACAGCCATTATGTAAAACAGCATGGAGTTTCCTAAAAAAAAAACACCACAAAAAACAAAAACAAAAAAACTCCCATTTAACCCAGTGGTCCCACTTCTAGGAATATATCCTAAGAAACCCAAAACACTCATCAGAGAGAATATATGCACCCCTATGTTCAGAGCAGCTCAATTTTTTAAGTTGTTAGAGTAACAAATTCATTATAGAGAATTTTTAAACTTAGAAGTTTCTAAAAGAAATTAAAAATCACTTAATACCCCTCCCCCATGCAATGAAAACCACTGTTAACTTTCTGCAATACTTTCATTGTGTGCAGGCATATGAATTGAGTTTGTATAGTATATACTAGATTAAATCATGCACATGTCAGGTCCCCTCGGCCTAACCTGCCATCAGGGCCATGTCCACCATCCCGTGAAGCCTCTCACGCTCGGTGGACGCTGCCAGTGGCCCATGGCACTCCTCAGATGCTGAAGGCGCCCCATGACGCTCTACAAGTCTTGCCCACGTGGCATCGTGGGACTCATCAATGCACCTCCTGGCGAGTCCAGTAGTTGGCTGCGATGCCATCATGGCATCACGACCACATGCCTTTTTTGATATAGATAATTTTACTATCTTATTGCAAACCTTTGGTGATTTTTTCAGAGTTCTGAAAAAGTTAATAGTATTTTGACAGTGTTCACTAGTGTTCTCATTGCTTTTTATGGACAAGTGAGTTTTAGAGGTCCTCAACTGATCATTTCAGAATAGCCAACTGCATATTCACTTACTATAGTTATGTAACAAAATTACCACAAACTTAGCGGCTAAACAACACCCGTGTGTTATGTCATGGTTGTTGTAGGTTGAAAGTCCTGGCACAGAGTAATTGGGTTTTCACAGGGAGTGGGCCTAAGCCAGCAGTCAGACATCCCTCTCGCAGTCCAGAATCCCTATCTCCTTACTGCCCACCTGCTCACTGCTCTTTAGCACTGCCATGGAGGCGGGAGAGGCTTCCGGCACTGCTGCTGTGCTCGCCAGCTGTGAGCCTGGCTTCCGGCTGAGTGGTGCTCCCCCTGGGGGAGCACACTGGCCACCAGGGAGCAGCTCCTGCATTGACTGTCGGCCTCCTGGTAGTTAGTGCGCATCATAGCGACTGGTCATTCCACCGTACTGGTCGATTAGACTGTTGTTATACAGGTTGTCCATTCTTTTCTTTTCTTTTCTTTTCTTTTCTTTTCTTTTCTTTTCTTTTCTTTTCTTTTCTTTTCTTTTCTTTTCTTTTCTTTTCTTTTCTTTTCTTTTTTTTTTAATAGAATTACATGTTTTCTTTTTTTTAAAAAATATATTTTATTGATTTTTTCAGAGAGGAGGAGAGCGGGATAGAGAGCTAGAAACGTCGATGAGAGAGAAACATCGACCAGCTGCCTCTTGCACACCCCCTACCGGGGATGTGCCCGCAACCAATGTACATGCCCTTGACCGGAATCGAACCTGGGACCTTTCAGTCCGCAGACCGACGCTCTACCACTGAGCCAAACCGGTTTCGGCTGTCCATTCTTTTCAATTAACATTATATCATGAGCATTTCCCATACCTTTAACTATCAAAAACAATAAAAATGTCACATAGTACTACAGAATACGAAAATACCATCTCTCATTTAATTAGTCCTCTACTGTAGGATATTTAGGATTATTTTCAACTTTCTGTAATGATCGGTAATACCATGAGGAGAATATATTTTCTTTGATTCGGATCTTG